CAATATATCTTTATTGTTCCATATTATTGGTTTTCTATGTTTTCTGTTATTCATCACTGGGGGAATTTCCTTTGTGAGTTCTTACCACACAGTTAGCATACTGCTTAAAAATCCAGTTATTTGTTGATTCAGCAAATTCACCTTAAAGTTACATTTTGAGAGCAGCTCTTTACCTCCTACTGGTTTTAAAGTTTTATCAAAAAACAGTTTCCATGGGTGTTCTATAGATTTATCACAGTATCTTCTAATCCAATTTATTCTAGTTGCCTTATAGATAGTATTAATGTCGGGCATTCCCAGACCCCCTTTTTCCTTTCTTCCTTTTATTGTATTTCTTGCTATCCTGTCTGGTCCCCTCCACAAAAAATTATGTAACATCTTGTTTATTTCTTTTAGCTTATTTTTTGTAACTTCTACATTATTTAGGACATACTGGACTCTGGATACGCCCATTGTTTTTATTACCTGAATTCTTCCTAGTAGGGTAAGATCGCGAGTTTTCCAGAAATTTAAACATTTTCGAAGTGATTCAACAGGACCTGCTCAGTTTAATCTGTTAGCGGTCTCATGATCATATGAGACATATATCCCTACTATCTTAATTGGTTCTCTCAGCCATTTTACTTTTAGAGGTGTTTGTTTTTTATGTTTATTCCTGCCCAGCCACAATGCTTCGGATTTTTCATAATTTATTTTTAGACCAGATTGCAATTCATATTTGTCTAGGAGAGTAAATAAATTTTTAGCTGACTTTACGTCTTGGAGGAAGCAAGTGACATCATCTGCGAAGGCTGCACTTTTTATCTCATTGTCTTCTATTGTTATTCCTTTTATTGTGTCTCTAAGAGCTATCAAAAAAATTTCTAGACTCATAATAAATAGTCCTGGCGATATGCAATCTCCCTGTCTTACCCTGATTGTAAACAGTTTTGCAACATTAGTGACAAACCATAGACTTGGTGTTGCCAAACTAGACATCACTCACCACCGTGATTACGTTGTCACAGTTTTAGTGAACTTCTGATGTCAATGTCAAATATGTAAACATATTTCAGTCACATTGGGAAATATTAATTTAAACTTTATTTCATGTACTATTCAGAAGTAAGAATGAATGAAGCAACATATCTAATGATGATTTTCATACAAGGACTAATGAAAATTTCATGGAATGGCTGACTGGAGACAAGTTAAAAGTTTTTGGTATATCACGGTGAAGAATAGTCACAACATTTGGAACTTTGTGTCCACACTAAAGACTTTTTAAAGACTTTCAAATAAATAATGCATGGTTTAGTTTTTATGTAAACTGCTTGTCAACATTCTTGCACATTGTATATGCTGTAAATTTTTGAAGACAAACTGCATTTGAAACTTGTTACAATGCTGCAAAACATTTGCAACAATGTTTATAAATTCACTATTAATGTTTTCAGTTTTATTCTCTGCAATTCTACAGTAATAACAGAACTGATTGATTTGTTTCTGACATGTAAATGTATTTAGTAATTTGTCCTTGCAGCAAAAAGCTGTCTAATAATTTCAGTGGTGTTAGTAACACAAGAAAAGGAATATTTTTTCTGAGCTGGATGTCTGTAGATTACTTTACTTTCACTGAAGAAAGCATTTTGGATTTTTGCATAATGATGCCTGATGCATGCAAAATATACAGGTGAATATTCGATGGATTTTATTTTTTCTGATCTACTCCAAGTTGAAAACAAAGCATTCTACAGCAGACTAAAACTAGTCATGAAGTGAGTTCTATCAAGTAAAACTTCTTACAGCTTGTACAGCCTGAGAACCAGACTACATCACTGAGCTAGATGTAGCCATGGCAACCCACAGAGATTCTTGACAGAGAGCCAGACTACAGCACTGAACCAGATGTAGCCATGACGTCCCATAGATCCACAGCTGTCTAAGCATTTGTTGGTATATTTCAGGTGTACACTGGAGATAAGTAATAACAAACATCACCAGTATAAACGCCTGAAATACATCAACGCAACGCACACACAGTCAGCACCATATTCGTTGTAGTCCCTATCGTAGTGATAAGAGATGATGTTAACAATCTCTTAAACTTTTTCACCACCAGACTTTCTCGCTCAAATTTGTACGCACTTTTTTTATGAAATGAACCCTAATTTTCGAGCCAACAGACAAAATCTGAGTCAATTTTCGTTTTTTACTCACAAAATTTGGCTAATTTTGTCCCAATCTTCTGAAGGAAAGTGCAGACTATAAACAAGACTATTTTGTGAATTTGTAATGAAAAGAAGGAACTGGTGGTGAGAAGGTTAACACATTGCCTGATAAAGCCTCCATAAATAGCCAAAATGAATATGAGAAAAACAGCGTCAGCAGACCACATGTAAGACCCATAACACTTTCACTGCCAAATTCGTTTTTGACAAAAATATTGATAAACATATTTTTATCTTTGCAGTATTTTTCTTCAATTAAAATATCAATTTTGGATTTAACAGACAGCATATGATATTGCACATAAATTTTGGTCAAAAGGTACAAGTTTTAATACAATAAAGGGCAACATGAAATGAGAAACATTAAACATGAATGAATTAACAGACAGGAATGAGGTATCTAATAGGCCACTAAGTAAAAGAAGTCTAAAAACAGTTGGCATACTTCAGGATAGGTGACATGTGTGTTATTCTACACACTGAATAAGTATTTTGGTGATATGTGACGTCACGTGAACATGATCTATTAATTGTTATGAAATAGAACAAATGTTTAAATTTCTAAAAATAACTTGTTAGAACTAAAGTAAAATAATTAGTAACTTTACCTGCACAGTGATTGGTCAACAATTGTTCACACACCTGGCAGTCAACCAATCAGAAACATGACATGAGATACATACCTTGGAATCAGCAACCAGGGCAATACCAACAGAGAGTTTTCTCTTCATTCCACCAGATAAAGACTTTGACAGTGTTTTGCGTTTATCCTCCAAACCAAGTGCCAATATATATCTATCCACCTCTGATTTAACTTTACTAGATGGAAAACCTTTAAGCTGTTACGTAACAGAGAAAAATCAAAAGACTTACATCAGCCAATCAGTGGAAATTCAATTACCAATTAAGTTTATTTTACCATCATGTTCCACAACCCGAAAACCAGACCAAATTGCTATTTTCGATATCAATTACAAGATCTCAAGCAACATGTGCAGACGTACCATGATGTACCAACCTCACATCTGACAAACCTATACAAATTATATTCAGGCAGAATGTGCCTCATCTACCGTGAAACAGGCTAGTTACTATGAAATGGTTACTGCGGCGCAAGTTCAATCCTAAAAGTCTTGAACAATCTATACATAGACAGTTCAGGCAACCAGAGTCTTTACCTATATCTAAGTCTGAGTCATGAAATCAGTGCACTGAATTAAAGTAACTTTTCACAAACCTTTGTGAAGAAAATAAGATGTTCTTCCACAGTTAGCTTATCAAACAAGATATCATGCTGAGGACATAGTCCAAGACTAGATCTCACGGATTGCATATCTGTACGTATGTCATAACCATTAACCAATGCAGTGCCAGCACTCGGTGGGAATAAACCAGTTAACATAGACAAAGTTGTAGTTTTACCAGCACCATTATGCCCCAGCAGTGCCGTTATTTGACCCTCGTACATTTCCAGAGAAATACCAGCCACGGCCACTTTAGTTTTATTGAAGACCTGAAAAATACATGTGCGTATTAGATACATTCGATACCATTGGTTTTGAAAATACATCACGATGCTCTGCAGATTGTCTGATAACAGGGGAAGGACTGAGATGTGTGAAATAATGGGTGAGATAATCAAACATCTTAGCTGTGTTATTTAAACATTGACAACCCCCACCACCCTATATTGGATGACAAGGATCTATGGCAAGAAATCTAGCGCATGTAGACCATTCTTGAGTGAACATATAGCGATACGGTTGAGAAAAAAAGAAACATTGTGTCAGCATTTTTAATACCTGTAGAAGGTCATGCAAAAACACAAACACAGGTATAAATTTCCTGGTGAAAATGACCATGACTTCTTAACCACGAAAGAATCATAGGTTTTTTTGTTCTTAAAATGATTCAAACACAATGATGTTTATCTGTTCATACATTGACCTCAAAAACGACCCAGTTATTGTTCAATAAAAGGGATGTATGTGATACCGATCGTCTAACGAGAACACACAATTTCAATAATGAGAAGAACACTGTATTATAATCATTTACATTGTCTCCTTGAAGAAAACTTTGATGAAACATACCTTATTAAGCATACGGATACTTATCCCAGCCCTTATACCAGTAGGATCTGCCTCTAAGAAATCCGAATTTTGCGTATGGTTACTGGTGCCTGCCAGTAACGGTGTACTCTCTGAATCTACCAGCAATTCAGTTGGTTTTGAACGACACCAATAAGAAGACTGTGTAATGATATGTAATAATAATAATACAACCAATAAATCAAGTCATTATTTCATAGAGCAGCAAAATAGAAATTTAGATTAATCCAAATGCTCTATTTTTCATCTGAATATACACATGGCTATCTAGTACTACAATGACATCAAATTAAGAAGTACATTTTCAATACTAGATCATTCAAATTTTGACAATAGACACACTTCTATCATTTAGGTTTATAAGTTTCATGTAAATGTATCTTTCATAAGTCATCATTGAAATGAATTTGTAACTGTCATCAATTTGTTAAGTGCAATAGTCGTCATCTATTGTGAATTTAAATTTTGTGTATATAAACATTGTACTTTGCATTTGCTGTATATGTCACATTTTGAATTTTGCTGTGTGAACATAGATGGAAGATATCAGGTTCTGAAGAAAATACTGTGGGGGAAAAAATTATATACTTACAGTAAGAAAGAAATACCAAGGCTGTGGTATGCCATAATCACCGGGGAATACAGCTTCTATATACCAAGTGATTACACAAGCAATGACAGAATCAACCAGTAACATTACCAGGACATGAAGAAATGTAAAATCATCATCTACAGATACTGGTTGGTTAATATTAGACCATTGCACACCTTGACCTATGAGACAGACAAAAAGAATACAAATTACTCAGCGGCAAAATGGACAAAAATCTACTATGAAATGGGCATTGTATTGCAAGAGGTCAATAGAAGGGCAGATTTGTTTAGGTTTGACTGGCAAGAACCAAGCACTCAACGATACAATGTTGTTGGTGGTATAAAATATACTTGTATGTGTCCTGGATGGATGTCACATGGCTGACAAAAATAAGACAAATGACTTCACATCATAGCTTGAAAAAATCAAAGAAAGCTTAGAAAGAACTCCCATGTGCTGAGAGTATTGGAGACACATTAAATATAATTCGAAATTACTTAGCTGAAAACTAATTATGCAAATCAGAAAATTAATATGACCAGATTTGAGTGTAAA